AATTATTCAAATTCACCCGGCGGCTTAATCGCGTGCTGTTCGCCATGCATGTAAGTAAACATTAAAGACGCCGAAATTGCATTGGCCGAGAGGTGGACTCGCCATTTTTGCGGTGTCCTCGCCTCTGCCTACGGCGGCCAATCGCGCGGTCTGCACCTTAAAAACGGTATCTCGAAGATGTGCCTGCGACAGGTATGCCAGTGAACAGCGCAAAAGAAAGAGAGAGAGAGAGAGAGAAAGAGAAAGGCGACTTCCGGGGAGGCTACACCTGGTGGCTGGGGTACGCGACCACCTATCGCGGACGACTTCGATTACCGGTCGTTGCGTGAAAATTAATGACGGTGTAATAAATAATATTGCGGTATTATTATTAATATTACGGGCAGAAATGGGCCACGCACACAGCACAATCAGGGACGCGAAGCACGGTAATCATATACGTCTTCTTGCTCTTTATGGCATGGGATAATTATATATTCAACAGAGAGAGAGAGAGAGAGAGGCGAAGAGAAGATCGAACCACCGTTGGGTGCGGAATTCGGTATCACAATTGCGATGATGTATCATTACTTGCGGGAAAAGGATTTCGTAACGTGTCGCGGCCTTTCGTTACGTCTCTCCGAAATCTCGGTGTCAATTGATATCATGATCATCTCTCGGTGCACGAATCGTGAGTAGCAGTTGGCATTCTCCCGCGCACCGTCTGTAGCAACGGTAAAGACGAAGTACAACGTTGGTTTGTGCTGGCGGAACAGCCCGCCAGCCAGGCGTAATTGCGATTACACGAACAGCGTGCGGCAGACTCTCGAGATTAATCACGGCGATGAATACCGCTGTGATTCGTAACGACGAGCAGCTCTAAATACGAGAAAATTACCTATATAAATCCACGTCCCGCCGGGCCGACGGCTTTTACTACTTGATTTAGACCAGCTGGCGAAAAAGGAAGCAACGGAAGGTGTAGTCGGACTGATGTCTGACGACTAAGTGCTCGCGTGGTGACTCGTCACGATGTGTCACTAATCCGTAATAAATGACTTTGTAATTCGTTACAAGGTATTCCTTGAACAAACATAATCCGTGTATTTACTCTGAATGTACAGATAACAGTTTTTCGCGTCCAATGTTTTGGACCACATGAGTGAGATTCTAAATTTGTCCTGAATGCAATTGAAAAGTTAAAAATAAATTAAAGAATTGATAAAAATTGTAGTTTCACTCACCGTCAATATCGTTGACACATATCTCGAGGTCCTCGCGGAATATAGGTAAATCAAAGTTACACTGGCACGTGCAGGAACTGTTTGGCACAAGGAGGCCCGTAGAACTTCGGGAATAAGGACTGGCTGTACCACCACTAAGCACCGTGCAAGCTTGCGTGCAAGAACCTGTAAACAATTTTTAAGTCGTTTTAATAACGCAAAACTTTCCACTTATAGCAATGAGGTTTGTATATTCTGTTAAAGTGAGTCAGTAAACATGTTTCCAATTGAATTAAGAAAAGGACTATTAATTATAGAAGATAATGCGGTGAAAAATTGACGAGTCTCCAACATAATATAGTCTATACATAATTTATTTTAATACTGTGCGAATTATCATCTCACCTTGATGCTACAAACAGTAGCTCAATTATTTGGCTTACGTTCGGAAATCGGAAATCATGATATATCACTGGACTCGTTCTACATCCTGGCTTTCCAATTGAACATTCTAGCTCTGTTATTCCGTCATCCCTCGTTTGTACAATAATACTGATACGACAAACGCACGGTATTTCTGTGCAGCACACTCTGCTTCAATCATGGATCGGTAACATGGGAACAATTGCAAATTTGCATTTCCAACCTCCATTAACACAACACAACGACGACGCGCGATACTCTCTGACTGCTCGTTTCGCAGTATACCCATCTCGGGCATTTACTTGACAATATCTTGTCGTGACGAACGCGTGGGACTTACTTTCAATACTCGTAGCGATAATTCGAATGTGAGATTTACACTTGGTGAGCCAAATTTGCAAAAAACACGAGACGATTCGTGAAATATGTTATTGTTGTCACGATCCATTTTCAGCACCAGTAGTGCAACTTCTTAGAAAAAAAACTCGTCGCCAATTAGTTCCGAAGTTACCGCTATGAGCCGCCAATTTCCAATGAAGAATTGAGATTGTGGTATTGTTCTCATGACATATCGTGATTATAGCTTTAACTTTCATTTTTGTCTTGATACTTATTGATCTAATCTTTGTTTTGTTCCTTACTTTTTATTACTTGAAATTGATTCATCTTTTTCTTTTCCATTTCTCTTTTTTTAAGATACTTATAACTATGAGTAAATAATCAGGATTATTTACATATTCTTTCTAAAATACGTAATAAACTAGAATAAATAAATAGAAATGCTTTGATACATTTTACTTTATCTAATAGGCTTTTTGTATATCTAAGGGTTATTTACAATAATTCCGTTCGTTTTCGAAGAACTTTTGCACTAATGCAGTAAGAGCGAAACAAATATATATTCTTTTACTCTAATTTATTGTATTAATATGTACTAGTTCAAAAATGTTTTTGAAAACTAACAGATCTAATAAGAAAACGATTAAGATACAAGTAAATAATGGGTCGGCATGCACTTTCGCTCAGTCAAGTAGTCAGTCAGTTGAGTAGACCTACTCAACGGTAAGTCAGACGTATTGCCGTCATTAGCGCCACTATCGTGGAAGGAAGCTTTTGCAACTTTCGCGAACTTTCTAGACTTTTTCAAACTGTTCGGCGGTTTGTGAGATTTTTCGCGGGAATGATTATTATTATATTCAGGCTGCCGTAAGTGATAAGAATATCGTCAAACTTCCACAAGTAAATATCACATATCATTCAAACTTATATTGTAAAGAGAGACACATAGATTGTATTTCGATATTCACTGTTAGTATTAAAAATTTGTATAATTCATATTGTGTATATTACAGACTTTTTGTACTGGCAGTGAATATCGGAACATAGTTTTACAGAAATTTCAAAGCTTGCGTCGTAATTTCCATGTCAAATGTCTTCGCATTTTTTACTTTGGCATAACCTTTGTAAATTTATAATTAACAGAAAAAACTGATTTGAACTTTGGCAAAATTTGAAACCCCGTGACTAGATGCTGTTCCGACCTAACCGCCATTACGATAAGACGTTCGAACACATTCAGACCTAAGTTTTTGGAATTCATACCTCGGTATCTTGGATGAAAAGACAATCGAGATAAGTCTGAGTCCAAGTAAAATAATAAGAAGAAAGTAAGGAAGGAAGTGATTAGATGCTAGAGGATGCCGACAAGGATCATTCCTGGAGGCAAAGACGTACCACAAGATCCTTTTTCCGCCGTGTAGTATTGACTCAATCGTGAGTTAAGAGATTTCCTAAAATCCTTTATTCAATTTTTTATCAATACTTTGGTTTGAAAAGTAAAGTATTGTTGTCAGAATTAAACTATGTCAAGAAAGAGACCTAACCTAATTCTTTCGTATCCTAATTCTTCCTCGTATTTATGCGCGCAACTTTATTAAGTTGGATTCTTTAATTTAGTTAGTAAAACGATGTTTCTATTCCAGATTTGAATGTGACAAAACGTGATTGGCCCCAAGATACTGCGTGTCAATGAGCACAATAAATGACCATGATAGATGACAAGTGACAAGTTTACAGGTGTAATCGTTTATAAAATTCATCAGTTAATTAGATCCACTTTGTTTTATAAGTTTTCTTATGTCTTTTGTATACATTTATATTTGAAACAATCAGAGAATTATGCCTGTTTGCTGCACCATATGTTATATGATTACGCAGAACTATTGCAACGATTATAACAAAGAACTAAGATATTAACAATAATTATGAGAGTTTTTAGATTAACAACAATTATAACAGATAATCAACAATGATTATGATAACTTATATCAACAAAAAATACAACAGGACTTTTATATTTATAACAATTATAACAAAAGTACCATATCTAGCAATATTTATAAAAGAACTGTTTATTTGATGTAATTCTCTAATTGTTTTGAACAGTAAGTAATGTGCAGCAGAATTGCATCTATAATTAACAATCATTTTGTTATTGTAGACTTAGATACTGCAATTATTAGTAAACAACTCATCTCATGCAGATTATGATAGTATCATCTACAAAACATTTTTTAAAGTGATTTCATAAATATAGTTTTTAAGAGAAATCAAAATTTTTACTGGCACCGTCGAGATAATAGCAAAATATCGCAAAAATATAAATTTTAATAGCGTCGCGAATAGAAAATGAAAAAATGTCATTATGTATTATCTAACATCTATTTTTATATAACTTTTGAAATTGCAGGACTGATATCATGATGCAGCAATAAGATTTGTCGATGGGCAAACATCCGCCTAAATCTATATACATACATCATACTATGTATATACATCATTCGACTTTGCTTAATATCGCAGAACATCGTCAGACTTCGTCGTAAAATGATAAGTATATAATTAAAACACTGATAAAGTGTTTGTAATATTTGTAGTGTACGTGTAGTCTCAAATTATTTACTTATGATGAAAGAAATATAATTATTAATATACTGATTGAATCGAGCAATAGTTTACATGTTGTATCTTATATGAGACATTCTGTATGATAAAAACAAAACAGCCAGATTTAGAAGAAGTATGTCTGTGCTTGGAGTTTGAAAGAAGCCTATCGCATAACAACTTCATATTTAGAATTCATAAACATACTTGATTTTATAAAGGAAATATAAAATGCCATTGTTTTGCTGAATTTTAAGCTGTCTCAATAAATCTTACATAAATATTCTTCTAACAGAAGAATATTTTATAATGCAAATGTTCCACAAATATATATATATTGGTACAATGATAATTAATAATGATAGCACAATGATAAATACTATGTTTGACAGAACACTTAATATAGAACGTTTAATACAAAATGTCTAATATAATATTATTAAATTACAATTTTGCATTATATTTTGATAAGTCTTTTATATGACATTACATGAGTCGAAATTTAGTCGAGATTTATTGATTGACAATATAAATAAGTCCTTGATTATACAGTTTAAAATCAATCAATTTAATTTTGTAAGATTAACTTTATTCTTTATAATTGTAAATTATTCAGTCTCTTTAATTGAAAGCATAATAGCTTCTCATTCATGATTATTCAATTATTTAAATCAATATTTCATATATGGTGTAATTTAGTTAATTCGTATGGTAAATCTGTTAACAATTTGCCATATTTAGCCTTGTCATTGTATCAAATTTTAATCTCCTTATTTATTTCCTTCCTTTTCATTTACACACATTTTACATCTTCATATCCTATCCAAATTTTCAATTTTAACAAAAGGAAAGAAATAAATACATATATTATAAACCCAAAAAGTCATACTTTATATTACCCATTTATTATATTTAAGCATTAATCTTCATTAGATTATTTAATATTTTTTACTATCACACATACGAAATCTGCAGTTAAATAAGTTAATTTAAGTGAATTATATATTACTTAAATTAAAAATAGAAATTGAATAGAGATATTGAAACAACCAAATATTCCATAATTTCGCACATCAATAATGATAATAAAAGCGTAGAGGTGCAAAAATGCAGAATTAAGATTTCGACTCAAGCGTGTTACAGATTAATATTTTGGCGCTTTTTGTGAAATACTATTTGATATTTTAGAAATTGCTGTTAGAATATTTAAAGAATTGTTATTAATACATCCGCCGCATTAATGGTCAATTAGTTTAATTATCATAACGCGAAAATAATCTTTAAATAGTTTTTCGCGTATCTGTTCGCATTGGTATAGTTAGATCGCGTTAGATTTTAGGCCACGATCCGTTACACGTTCCCAACAACCATCCGAGAACAATAGAGTACACAGTCGATGTGTCGCGCATGATACTTTTGGAGCGTACTGTACACGGGTGTGTACGTGACGTATACACGCGCCTGAGTGTATTGAAGGTCGCGCGACCGCCAAGCGACGCGGCATACGTGACGTATACGGCGCCTACGTGCGTGTGTATTATCCGCAGTTATCAAAACCGCCGCGAAAGGGAGCGTATCGGGAAAGGCCGCGCGCGCTATTTTCGTGAGTTTCCCGCGTCTATTCGTCTCTTCGTGAGTGAAATTACATTATTCCGCGAATGTGCTCGTCGCGTCGAGACCGTTCTAAGCAACGAGAGCACAGTAGAACTTTCACAGGGTATTATTATATTCCGCTTTAATTGCCTTTTAAGTAGAGACATATATTCGAAGCTCACGTCGAAACTTCCGTGCCAGATATCTCCGTACTATTAACTTGCTCATACGGAGCAAGCTCTCTCTGTAGTTGTGATTAATCGGAATTAGAACTACGTTCTGAAACTACGTTTCAGAGCCGGCAGGATTCGAGGCCCCGCGACTGCACGCAGTTCCAGGGGATGCTGAGATGACGCGGTTCCTGAGAACGCGGATGCTGCACCGGAGGATCCGGTTCGGGCCGAGTAGGGTCGGCTCGAAGGTGAGTTCACAGAGTTTCTCTCTTGTATTTTTATTTAATCATGTGAATTCCTTGGAAAGTAAAGTTCTGTTGTCGGGATAAAAATTGTTAAATTACGAAGGCAATAAATCTTAATTAACCTTCCGCACTTAATCTAACCTAACTTAACCTAATCCTTTTTCGTATTTAAGCGCGTTTGCTTACAAGCATTATTTATTTAAATTACATTAACAAATGTAATAAACAAAACATTACTTTTGTTTCAGATTTGGACGCAGGAAAATGTGGCTGACCCTAAATTTCATGTTGGTGAGTCAAAAAAAATAGACATATGAATTTACAGGTGATGGGTTTAAAAGTAGTGTATCTTTATAAAATTCGTCAGAGTCAATTAGATTTACTTTAAATTGCAACTTTTTGCATGCTTTTGCATAACATCAACAATCAAGGAATTTTTTAGATCAAATTACAAACTACTACAATACAGAACTATTACTAACAACAATTACAATTAAATTTGATATTAAAGATAATAATGTGAAAGAAATATATCAATTTAAATTATAACAGAAACATTCCTATTAACATTTATTTGAGTATTATTAGAGTAATAACGTTTATGATAGTTTTATTGTATTAATTTTAACAAAATTATTTATTCATTTTATAATTATAACTTCATTATTATTACAATTATTATTATTACTATTGTTATTATTACTATTATTACTATTATGAAAACTTATTACTTTATTATTTTTTTACATTTATATATTTTATTTACTATATTAATATATTTATTTATTAGAATTATTTATTTAATTATTAGAATTATTTATTCAACTTGATTCCTTCATTGTTTTAAGTAGTACATCATACACAGCAGAATTGCGTGCGCAATCCGCGATTATTCCGCCTTTTTGTTGATTTCAAATTCGCGATTGTCGCGATTATTAGCTTCCTGAATTTTTCGCATATGCGATGTGACGAATCTCATTAAATTCAATTCGTTAAAATATCGCGGTGGCAAACAATGAGAAAGTATCGCGTAGTAACTATTTGGTATTTAGTAATTATTTTGTTTGCGGACGAATTGATTTCGACATCGTCGTGATTTGCATTGATTTTTTTTTTCAATATCCAACATCTTGCGCGAGATGTATCGGTATCTGAGACATTTCGTCAAGTAAATTCGTAAATATCGTTTTAAGAGAAATCATATTTTAAAGTCATTCACGCCGTTTTAACTCGTTAATGCTGAGGAACTCGATACACTCGCGAAACACCGTTAAGACGTAAATTTTGTTCGCGTCGCGAGCCAAGAGAAATGTTAGGCAAAGCCTAACAGTTATTTAGGCGACGTGGGACGATTTAGGATATTTAACTTGAGAATGACGCAGTCGAGGATGCACCAGGCATTCAACGATGGACCAGGATCTGGACCTGAGTGGATTTGGTTCTACATCGTTAAACATCGCAGAACTTCAGGGAATTGGTGAGCATACAACTGAGACGCTCAAGAAGCGATTATATTATTTGTAATGCATGCCGTAGACGTAAATCATTGACTTCTGACGAATAAAGTAGAATCATTAAAATATATTTTAACGTATCTTGTATGAGACGTTCTGTATGACAAGAGCGAAGCCGCTGATCTTAGAAAAAACATGTTTATGTTTGAAATTTGAACGAGATCTACCGCACAGCAGCTCGCACTTGAAATATGTAAATAATTTGTTGTTATGAAGAAAGTATAACATGACATAGTTTTGCTTAATTTTACCAGCCATAACATCTTACAACTAGAATTCTTTTTTCAATGTTAGAATAGTTTTCTTTTGGTTTTAGAGAAATCTTCTTGAGGCCATATACAAGAAAATATCTGTTAAGCATAAGATAATATTTTTTTTAGTTATTATATGGTGAATGTCGCTCTTGTCACATATATGGAACGCTTCATATGATATTATTGATTTACAATTTTACATGTCATCAATTAGAATGTACCTGTTCTTTGACAATACCTAAGTCGAAATTTAGTCCGTTATTTTTTGAGAAACAATAACGAGAGTTTTTGATTAAGTTGTAAATCCATGTTTACTTTATTCAAAAAGTATTTATTCAAACAATTGAATAATAGCCCATAAATATGAATTTATATAATCAGTATTATACCTTTCTAACTAAAGATTATATGAATACGAGGTCTTGGTTGCCAATTTATTTTATTTTATTTCTTTTTAGCCTTATTATTGCAGCAAGTCCAAGTTTAAATCTCTATTTCACTTTTCTTCTATTTCAATTTACCTCTTTTAAATCCTAATTTTATTGCAATTGTCAACTAAAAAAGATAAATTATCAGTAAAAGTTGTATTATTTCCTTATCATATTAATAATTAATAATTATTCCTTGTTAATTATTTAATATTTATTTATCGTATACATTCAATCTGCAATCAAGCAACTATTACTCAATATTTTATTTATTAAAGTTAAATCAATTAGATTTTCAATTCAATATATTCAGAATATTGAGATAATCGATTGTTAAATAATTTCTGATATCAATAATAAGGCTGTTGCAACGAAATAAATGAACAAAATTTCGACTTAGTATCATCAATTTACATGGACATACACATGATGATGATGACATGAAATACATCTTGAAATACTTGAATATACATCAATGCGTTTTACACGACATTATTCATTTGCGATTTTACATGTTTATGTTTTGTTATATCTTACACATGATGTGACATACAAAACTTTATATGTCACGAATTTATCATGATGCATCTTATACATGACGCTACCAACCTGCAATTTTATATGTCGTCAATTTACATCGCGATGCGTCTTATACGACACTATCAACCTGCAATTTTATATCTTATCATTATGACGTGTCTCACACGACACCATTAATCTGATATCTTATCTCACAAACGCACTCTTATTAATTGGGCTTGAAAATTATCTTGCTTTATCCCATCTTATGCAACCGCGTAATTGTTGTCTCGCTGATGCTGGTTATTGCGTCCTTAGTGTCGTACACGTCAAAGCGTATTATTTTATAAGTATACGTTAATCGATATATCCGCGTGCGTGTGTGTATGTCGTGAATCAATAACTCATTCGTGTGCCAAACTCGTTTCGCGGGAACCTCTCGGTGATCCGAGAGCCTCGAAAAGATGTATAGTCGTGTCTGAAATTTGCTCGTACTGATCGTCAGGACGCGCCGTATAATCCAAGCCAGCAAGGACAGGTCGGACAGCTGTCAAACCGTTACATCGTAATTTCACGGTTAATCCGTTACGAACGTTCCTTTTTTTTCTTTTCTTATTTCATGCAGCGGTTGTGTCACGATTTCGCGCAAAATCGTCCTGAAACACGTTCGGTACTCTCGAATCACGCGTCATTATGCTTTCGTGTACCGGAAAATCACGCGGTACTTCTGTGCCACGCCACTTTCGCGAATCATGCTTTACAGGCCCACTTCTCGAAAACCGAGGCAGATTATCGAAATGCAACATGTCATAACATGTCGTCGTTTTACATTATTTACATTGCAAAGGAATCGTTGATTGATATCGGGGTGATGATTGGGAAGAGTACACAGGTGCACAAAAAGCCCATTCTCGAGAGAACTACTTTAGAAACTTGTGTTTCGTGTTACAGACGTATTTAGCACCGCAATTATTATTTTATTAACTATCAACTACTTTTGTAGTTACCTTTGAATTTTCTATGAAATAAAATGAAGTATTTTTGACGTCGCGAATATTAATAGTTACCTTCTAAAACTTGTCTTATGTAAAAGATTCTCAGATTTAAAGTTGGATCCGAGCTTTTTAGTTGAACTATTACATTTGTAATCTTGATTCAGGTGGAAAATTCTCTGAAAAAAACTCTAAATTCAAATCTGTGTACCTCATCTGAGATAAGTTTTAAGTAACTACTATTAATATAGACTTTAGAGTTAGATGTGAATTTTTCAGTTGAATCACGCTTGCAAATGTAATGTCACATATATTACATGATTCAAATAAAAAACTCAAATCTAATTTCATATTCAAATCTAAGTATTTCACATGGGATAAATTTCAAGTAATGTCTATTAATACAAGTCATAGGTCTGTATTAATAGTTACTTCAAATTTGTCTCGAATGAGATACTCAGATTTGAATTTAGAATTAGATTAGAATTAGATGTAAATTTTTCAGTTGAATTACGATTATAAATATAATGTTGCGTGTATCATTTGATTTAACAAAAATCTCGGATCTGACTTTAAATTCTGATTTGAGTAACTCACGTGAGACAAGTTTCGAGTAATGACTATTAGTCATCGAGATCGCTTTGTGTGAAAAAAATGTTTTAAGATCTTTATTTTCTTGAGCACAGCTCAGCGCAATGCCAATATAACAACGGGTTAGATCAGCGTTAGTATAACCGTGATATTACGGCTCAATGCCATATTTACCTTCGATGGTAAAGATATCTCCATCGGTGTGTCTGATGACCGACAATTCCTGACAGCAGGCAACTCGTAGGAGGTAGAAGTAGCTCGCGAGAACGAGAGCTAGTGGACGCATCTTCCCCACAGCATTCTGCAATGACAAATAGGTAGCAGGGTAAATAATCGAGCGCGATATGTCGATGACGGCGAGGTTTTACATGTTTCGTTAACAACAAGCGCGCAACAAGTGTCGTTCGTGGCTACAACCAGCCAATAAATCAGTAGAAAATATCTCGAGAATTAATGGCTGCTTCATTTCGCGGGATTACACAAGAGGGAAAGACAGAGAGGGAGAGAGAGAGAGAGAGAGAGAGAGAGAGAGAGAGAGGGGGAGAGAAACTTCCGGCAAGTGTCCATTTATGGCACCTTGCCATCTCGTCGCCGGATCTTTGCTAAAGACTGCCGTCCCTGCACACTTATCGCGGGAATGTTAACACACGCATATCGTTTATCATCAACAACGCGGATCCTCATTACTAGGAGATACGCGAATTTAATCGTTGCATTATTTCCTATAGTTATTTATGGTCGCGGCTGTGATTAGAACGCTCGTGAACGCTCATGTATTCGCCTCAGAATCGTTCACGTGAGGCGCGAGCATGAAGCCCGCGAAAATCGAAAGAAGCCTAGGCTGTAGATACTAATTCAGTTATTAGGACCATCAAAGTAATCATTCTAAATTCGCCGGAGTCCTACGATCGGCTCACGAGTGTTATGATTACCAGTCATTGAGTGAAATTGCAATTAACCTTGGGGCCCCCGGTATACGAATCATATCTCTCTCTTTGGTGCTGTCCTCGAGCTTTTTACATCTCGTAATTGATATCGGTGTCGACGCGATCCAACGGGATATTTACGAGGCACAGATCACCCTCGTCTCGTCTCTCTAATTCAATCGTCGCGGCGACTAATCGGCATGTCGGCGGGAATTGCGTGTGACTTTTTAATGGGAAGCGCTACGAGCGCAATATCCACTAATTCTTGCTGATTCTCGTTGAATTGTACGGACGATCGTCGGGATTAATCGTGGCTGGCAGGGAAGTCGGCGGTTTCCCTCGTGTAAGTAATGAATCATCTGCCAACAATCATCTCGTCTCTTTGGAGTAATGTCATCAGTCATTTCGATAACTGGCGCAACTAGTAGTTTCGGAAGTATCTGTCACCTGCGTCGTGGATATCGTTGTGAGGAAAAAAGGACACATAGGTTTATCTCTCTCTGTCTTTCTCTCTTTTTCTCTGTGACGAGAGGTGGAAAGAGGGATCGTTGTAATTAATCAAGCTAGTAATTGACTTCGCCGTCTGTGAACACTTGTCCGAGAACTAATGAGATATTCGGAGTTTGCGTAATTTCGTCGTTTGTCACGAGTGTACTCCGTGCACTCCTAGGTATCTGTCTTTCGCGCGAAGCAACGATAGATAAGTACAATAAAATATAGGCAGATACTCAGGTAGACTTTCACGACGTGAAGCAATCGATGATGAAGTGAAAAACAAATTTGAAGAATTCTTTAAACTACGTTTACGAGGCAAATGTATTCTGTCAAATCATTGAACTTGCACGATGTAATAATGTAAATTTTTGATTGATATTGATATAGCTACAAATTTATTAAAAACTACATTCAGATTTTCGTGTCACGTTTCGCATTACATTACATCGTTTTAAGTAAATTCTGATCATTCTTTTAGTATTTCATGTTATGTGATAAAAAATATGAATGCGACATGAATCACTCATAAGAATGATGCAAATTTTACAAATCGAATAAATATGGTGGCATCAACTTTGTTAGTTGATTTGCATCTCTTATAAATGATCCATAACTTATATTTATCGCATAAAATATTAATAAAATGGAAGTGTGAAAGAAGTGCGAGAAAGGACGATTGGAGTTTGCTCAAAATAATGTGCCATGCAAATTTAAGTATGACTTTTATTTGTAGTTATATCAATATAATTAAATTGAGAAACTCACTTTTAACTCAAAATTCAGATTTGAATGTCTCACTTGAAATAAGTCTTAGGTGATGACTATTAATACGGGTTTTAGTCATCAAAGTCACGTGAGGAAAGTAATCGTTATTTAAAGATATTTCTTTCTTCGATTATCTCACGTGTGACAATCGTGAAAGTCTCTATCTATGGCAAAATAATACAATAGAATATAAAATATAATCTCGTGGAAAGCTTCGATTACCGGAACTTTATGGGACGTCGACTCAATTGAGCGCGCGACCGCACAGGAACGGACTTGAGAACTGAAATTTTTCCCGCTAGCCTTTGTTGCCGCACAATGTATCCCCTTTCTGTCGCTCGACTCGCGCGTTGTATGCACCTTGTAATCGTTTCACATAGGGTCGTTTGTTCGAAGAATTTAATAAGCGTCATAGATGACTGGTTACTTTTCCATAGCGTAATCAGTCTTTCGTGGTAATCTTCTCGCATCTATAAGGTATACACTCGCGGCAGGTGTTGGAAATTGCGCTATCACGATTATATTAATCGGCCGATGAGTCATATCCGAAGTCCAACTATCGAATCTTAGCGCGTGATTACCGTCGCCACGTTAGGCCGCGTAGGCAAATGCTAACAAGCGCTCGTGCGCGCGCGCGCGCTCGCCGTAATTACAGTGCAAACTCGCCGCGAAATTGTGTTAATAACGTATTTACAGCGAGAGCACTCTGTATGGCGCACCTCTCGCGTCTCAGCCGGACTCTGCACGCGTTGATTAAATTTCCTATCCTCCACGTACGTCGTCTCGTAATTACTTGGACGTGCGCTTCAAGCACCTCTCAGCTGTCGAAAAACGGGAGGAAAAAAACGGCGCTTAACATACGGGAAAATTGACTTTCTTTTTACGGAGCGAAGTTTGACGGAGATAGGTGATGAAACAGGACGATAAACATTTCGACACTAAGAGAAAAAATCTAGAAAATAATAAATATTTATTCGGTGGGTACACTGAAGAAAAATACTTCAAAATTTATTTGTGGGATATGAAACTTATTTTTGCGAAATAAATTCTGTAAGATAAAATTTATTTTTGCGAATAAGCTTTCTTTATATTCTACAAATAAATGCTGATACATTCTTTTTTCAATGTAAGATTTTTCTTTAAATGTAGTTTTTTTATTGAGAAAAGAAAACTAGAAAAATTATTTGCGAGATATAAAATTTATTTCTGGGGAAGAGAATTTATTTCTGTAAAATATAAATTATGAAATAAACTTTTATATCCTACAAATAAATTTTCAAATATTTTTTTCTAAGTGTATAGTATGCTGCACTAACAAGTAAACCTATCCAAAAGTTACACTCCGATTCCTTTCTAATTTGGCACAAGTGTTGAAGTATAAAAAATATTTAGGTCATATATTTTCATTTTGGATTTTTCATTTTGGATATTTACCTTTTGGATAAGTTTACTTGTAAAAAAAAATATTTGGAAACTTATTTGTGGGATATAAAGTTTATTTTCATAAAGATAATTTTTGTGAAATAAAGTATATTTCTGTAAAGTGAACTTTTATCCCACCAATAAATTTTCAAGTATTTTGTCTTCAATGTAATAACATATTTACTTATATTAATATAAAGTATTTTTGAAACAAGAAAATACACACATACACATACAGTATATCTCAAAATTTTGGCTTTCTCTATAGAACCAACTATTTATTCTATTTCAATAAACGAATTTAGATTTAGAGGTGAATATGTTATTAGTATCCATTGAATCAATATTTCTTATTTTTAGATAGTTTTTTCTCTCGATGAATGCAGTTGCGACGAGATAAATTATAAATTCATGGTGATATCGAACTATGAAATTGGCGATTTTGTCTCGAAATCGTTTGCTAGGAAAGAAACAGCGTTCTTCGCGTCCGGTATTTCTCGCGGAGATTCGGTGGTTGCGAACTACCAGTTTCTTCCAGCGGCGAGTTCGTTGAACGAGTATGTTGAAAACGGGCGACTCCCGGGAAGGAGGGTTTGGCAGATGCTCGTGGTCGCCGATAAAGTTCGCTGGCCAACGAACCACTACGTCGATAAATCTCTTTTATGATGCACGTAAATGCCAGTACGTTCTTAATTATACGCGAACGTGTCAGTCGCGATCCTGTCTCGGAAATCGCATACGTAGGCAGTAAACTTGGATACGCCGTTGTCATTTTAATGGGATATTAATGTCTTATTTTGTCCACCGACTGGGTTATCTCCAAAGCCGCGAGACACAAACAAATGATTGCGTTGAATCCACAAACAAAATATTAAAAAAAAGATACGAGCCCCGATTAATCTTAATTACTAAAGAAAAGTAAATGACAAGTAAGAGAAGGCGGCGGGAACGCTTTTACTCGCCATTTACTTTTTCTTTATTACTTTGGATTGCACATCGTAAGAGCTTTATTTCTCTTTAATTTTAATTACATTTATTATATTCTGGACCCGCTTACAGAAAAAGTCGAAATGAAAGTAACCTAATTTTGAACGTTCTTATTGAACGTTTTGGTCCTTAAGTACGAATATTTAAATTTTTAATATAGAATATTTATACATAAATTGAATGTATATTTTATATTGTATTAGTTTAAGTGTATTCGTATGTAAAAACTAAAACAATGGTATCAATTCCTGAACATATATCTAACTATGAATATTTTTTTAGTTTTGGTCTTTAAATACAAACACATTTAAACTTTCAACATAAAATATATGAACATATATTTTGCGTCGAAAGTTTAAATATTCGTATCTAAAGACCAAAATAACAGTATCAGTGCCTGACGTAATTTTAGACATTCATGGCAAGAAGAGAGAGAGAGTTTTGGTTTTTAAATATAAATATTTAAACTTTCAACACATAGAATGTGTATACATATGTTTTATATTGAAAGTTTAAATATTCGTACTTAAAAGAATCAAAACAATAAGAATGTCCAGAAGATCAACATTTTGATTCTACTTTCGACCTCAATATTCCATTTAACACTTATTTGATATATCAATCTTTTTATTAATGCTATTTAAACTAGCTTGCCAAGAGATCCTCTTTAGAACTTATAAGTAGCATTTTACTCGTTTTTTGCCGT